CTGGGCTTAAGAGCAGTCTTGGTCATTGTTGTATTGCATTCTGCTTAACCATCAGAAATCCTTTTCAAGGCTGTGAGGTACCTACTCGCTCACTCAAGACAGCACATTGCCCAAACTCTACTGAGCAGGCACTCACTCCCTAGACCTCCCATGGTTCAGTGGGTGGTTGGACAGAGGGATCAAGGCTTCTTCAGTGTCTCCCACTCATGTCCCTGTTTGTCTGAGAAAGTTTTCTACAACCCCAGGTATGTAGGTGTATAAAACAGGCACAAACTTAAACACTTAATAATAAGAAATTATAAAGAAATTTACTTTTAAAATATTCTTTGATGTACATGTAATTTTACATTTGTTTGTTTGGTTTGGTTTGGTTTTGGTTCCTTTGATACAGGGTTTCTCTTCGTAGTCCTGGAACTCGCTCTGTAAACCAGGCTGGCTTAGAACTCATAGACATCTGTCTGCCTCTACCTCCTAAATTCTGGGATTAAAGGCGAGTGCCACCTGGCAGTTTTACCATTTATTAAAGAAAGAAGCAAATTTGCATACTGAGATAAATGTACTCATTTAGCTTACATACAGAATTAAATTGTGGCTATTTGATACTGCAAGATGTACATCTTCAATGTTTTCTAGAAGTACTTACTATTCAGATTTTATAGTGGTCAATATGAGGACATTGATTCATATAGTGTAAGTTCAAAAATCATTGGAAACTGTTCTCATAAACAAGTCAAAATCGATTCAGCAATTTTTCATGGAAGTCAGCAACACAAATAGAAACTTTTATTATCTTTTATCTATTTGTGCACATGTGGGTTGTTTGTTTGTTTGTTTTGTTTTTTTGGAACAGAGTCTCATGTAGCTCAGCCTAACTTTGAACTTGTTTTTAGCCTAGGCTGGTCTTGAACTCCTGGTTCTCCTGCCTCAGTCTTCCAAGTACTGGAATTACAGATATGTGATACCATGTCCGGCTAAACAGCATAGTTTTTTTTCTTTGTGAGTGTGTGTGTACATGGTATGTGGTCTGTGTGGTGTGTGTATGTGTGTCTGTGCACACGCAGCCACATGTGTGTAGAGTTCTGAGACTGACATTGGATACCTTCTTGATTTCTCTCTACTTTATTAGGTAGGTCTTTCCCTGAACCCAGAGCTCACCAATTTGGCCACTCTAGCAAGTTGGCTTGCCCTGAGGAACCCTTTCTCAAGCTCCCTGTATGGGGATTGCAGGCAGGCTACCATGCTCTTCCGGTTGTGAAGATTCGAACATGTATGACAAGCACTTACCCACTGAGCCATCTCCTCAGCCCACGAAAAGCAATTTTCTAAACTCAAACATTCTAACATGATATAATCTACAGGTATTCAAAAATAATACATGCAGCCAGGCGGTAATCCCAGCACTCGGGAGGCAGAGGCAGGTGGATCTCTGTGAGTTCGAGGCCAGTCTGGTCTACAAGAGCTAGTTCCAGGACAGGCACCAAAGCTACAGAGAAACCTTGTCTCAAAAACCAAAAAAAAAAAAAAAAAAAAAAAAGATACATGCAGAAAAATGATGGTAGGAAAATACTAAAGTCTTTTTTCTCATAATTAAATCATTAATTTCTATAAATAAGCACAGAAGACTGAATATGCACAGTAAAAACACTGCAATTCACAACACAACAATCTCAGATCTCACCAAGGTGCTGCAAGCAAGGTTTTCCTGGCCTTGGGAGGTGCACCACCACATGTGCACAGGAAGTGCATGAGCTGTTCACCAGTGTACAGCCGAGCCGCAAACACTGACTCACTAGACTTAGGGTTTTGAATTAAGTTTTTGGTTGCTGCACGTTCAGAAACCTTTTACTGTGGCCAAATTGTCATGATGCCCTCATTCAGTTCTGGGAACTGCAATTTAGGAAGCTGGAGGGGCCAGACAAAAACAAAAACAAAAGAAGCAAAAACAAACTGTGGCCTCAGGGAGTACTGCTGTGCCCGCCGGAGGCCGCAAGGGAGGCTGGGCCTGGGGTAGGAACCCTCTTCCTCCCTGGCAGGAAGAAAGGCCTAGCACAATGCCAGGGCATGAGTCCGGTTATGACTGCCCTCCCCCTCCTCCATGGCTTGGGTCCAAACCAGAATATTCTGAAGCTTCCTGGAAGTCCCAATCTCTGTGGGCTTCATGTCTGTAAAATGAGACCCACACGTACCCATGGTCTGCCTGATCCTATCCTTGGTGTTTTGTTTGTTATTTCAGTGCAATGGAACCCAGGGCTTCACCTGTGCTCTTCTGCTGAGCCACAGCCCTAGCCCCATGAAAATATGGAGGTATAGCAAAAAACGCTCAAATCTGTGGTGAGGTTTCATGGACCATGCAGAAGCCGATGGCACTGTAGACATCTATTCTGGGTCTGTCGTGACACTAGGCTGGTCACAGGCAGTGAACCAATGAACGCTGCCCTCATGATCACAAGAAAAGGTATAGACCAGAAAGGGTGTGTGGCGCATTGAAGGTCCCCCAGCCAATGGTCAAGGTCAGAAAGGGTGTGTGGCGCATTGAAGGTCCCCCAGCCAATGGTCAAGGTCAGAAAGGGTGTGTGGCGCATTGAAGGTCCCACAGCCAATGGTCAAGGTCAGAAAGGGTGTGTGGCGCATTGAAGGTCCCACAGCCAATGGTCAAGGTCAGAAAGGGTGTGTGGCGCATTGAAGGTCCCACAGCCAATGGTCAAGGTCAGAAAGGGTGTGTGGCGCATTGAAGGTCCCACAGCCAATGGTCAAGGTCAGAAAGGGTGTGTGGCGCATTGAAGGTCCCACAGCCAATGGTCAAGGTCAGAAAGGGTGTGTGGCGCATTGAAGGTCCCACAGCCAATGGTCAAGGTCAGAAAGGGTGTGTGGCGCATTGAAGGTCCCACAGCCAATGGTCAAGGTCAGAAAGGGTGTGTGGCGCATTGAAGGTCCCCCAGCCAATGGTCAAGGTCAGAAAGGGTGTGTGGCGCATTGAAGGTCCCACAGCCAATGGTCAAGGTCAGTTTGGAGCCACTGTCACAACTGCAGCTCAAGTTCAGCTTTCCAGGGACCCCTGAGATAGGCGGGGACTAAAGGTGTAGAGGGAGACAGTACACACAAGATAGTATTGTACTTCAAGATGCAGTCAAGATAGTCTGGTCCCTGGGAGGGGTCCTCCATCCTTTTTGTGTGCCAAGTCTGGGTATGCTATGGCTAAAGGAGGAAACTGAGTCATGGGTACCCTTCTCAAAATACGGCTCTACCACCCTCACCTCTGACTTTCTCTGGAGAGCCTTGAATTGGAGGGCAGGACTCCTGAGCAGCAAGCACCTGGGGACCAGACACCTTGTGCAAGCACTGCTTGAGGCCCAAGCCTTGTGGGGCTCTCTATTCCCCTGGAGCTTGCCTGCGTTAGCATCGGTCTTGTTTTCTCCCCCTCGTCCTCATCTTCCTCCCGAACGGCAGGAATTGCAATCATGTGTGTGGTGTGAGCATGTGTGCATGTGTTATGTATGTGGACACCTGTTTGTTGTGCACTTGTACATTCTGAAAACAGATGTGCGGGAAACATCACTGCCACCATCATCCAGGTGAGGAGACAGGCTCAGAGCAGGTGTCGGAAGTGGAGGGTGTCATGGAAAGCTGTCTACACTAGCTTCTAGTCCCAGCTCAGTCCCCAATCCTCGGGGACACCTTGGATAAGTAACCGGCCCTCCCTTGGCCTCAGTTTCCCCCTTTAACCATTGCATAAAGTCTCCACTCTGTACTCATCAGTCCCTCCCAAACTTCTGTTCCTCGGACTACTGCTGGCCAGGAGGTCTAGAAGGCCATCATCTGAATGCATTGTGCCCTCCTACCTTTGAGTCTCCAGAGAAGGAAGAGGCGTGGGGTAGGCCCATCTTCTAGGCCTGTGGCAGCAGGGCGGCCTCGCCTGGACACCAAGACTAGAGGGTCACTAGCAGGCACTGGGGTTTCCTTGAGCTTATAGGACTGGCTATGCCACACACGTGCTACAGAAATGCCTTCTTCCTGTGGCAAGGGGGGCTCTGAGCTGACGGGTTTTATCTGGAATCTGTTGCAGCTGCAGAGACTCTGAATTTGGGTACCTGTTTGCCTCAAAATGCAAACAGCGCTGAGCAATGGCTGACGGAACCTGAGTTCTTCCTGAGAGCCCGGCACTGTATCCATGCAAATCTCTATCCCGTGAGATAGTTTTATTATCTCATTTATAGAGACAGGCCAGAAATGTCACATCTCAGAGACAGGAGTGGGCTCTGCTGAACAGAAGCCCTCATTTTCCCCAGCTGACCCTAGTGACTGCACCATGCGGGGCCAGGATCCCAGAGCCACTGAGCTGCGGGCAATGGGAGTCGCTCTCTGGCTGGGGTTTTTGGCTGAAGGTACAGGATAATGACTTACGGGTGATTGACTGCGAGAAAGCCAGTCCTAGGCCTTTTGCCTTGGAAACTTGTCACAGGCCGTCCGGTTGTTTTCCATCCCTTTCCAGAAGGAAGACCGCCCAGTCCGCTCCGACAGTTCCTCACAGTTGGTTTTGGATGAGGCACTGCCCCTTCCTTGATCAGTCAGTCAGTGAGAAAGCCATTGGACACGGTCTTCTCTACAGGAACTAGTGCTGGTGGTGGCCACTGTGGAGGCAGGGGAGGCCCTGCGGCAGCTCCCTGGGGTAGCTGAGGGAACAAACACGGAAAACAGGGGACGTCAATCCTTATCTGGAGTTCATTAATGAGAACATTAGTCGGCTGTGGAAGCCAAGATGGGAAGATAGGACATTGGGTGGGCAGGGGCAGGGCTGGGGGCAAGGCCACCATGGGAGAACATGGTATTGGCAGACACACCTCTATCCCACGTGCCCAAATCCAGGATAGAAAGGTCCTATAAATGCCCAAGGTCCAGCCTCCACAGAGGTCCAGAGAAAAAGAAGAGAGAAAGAGAGAGGGGCAAGGGAAAGCCACTCCCGTGGCCCAGACCCCTGGCCAGGGCTCAGAAGGCTGGGCAGCATGTGGGAACTCCGATCCATAGCCTTCTCCCGGGCCGTGTTGGCTGAATTCCTGGCCACACTCCTTTTCGTTTTCTTTGGCCTTGGCTCAGCCCTCCAGTGGGCCAGCTCCCCGCCATCTGTGCTTCAGATCGCTGTGGCCTTTGGCCTGGGCATTGGCACCTTGGTTCAAGCTCTGGGCCATGTCAGCGGGGCGCACATCAACCCTGCTGTGACTGTGGCCTGCCTAGTGGGCTGCCACGTCTCCTTCCTTCGAGCTGCCTTCTATGTGGCTGCCCAGCTGCTGGGGGCTGTGGTCGGGGCTGCGATACTCCATGAGATTACTCCAGTAGAAATCCGCGGGGACCTGGCAGTCAATGCTGTGAGTAGCCTGAAGCTCTGCCCCTTCTGGGAAGGGCGGACACTGAGAACCCTGGGGCTGGATGAAAGGTGTGGACAAGCCGAGTGGGGAAACAGAGAGCTAGGCTAGGAACACAGCTACATCAGGAGAGCTGAGGAGAGAGCCAGAGTCACCAGGAACAGAATCCTGTTGGCCACCTGGGGGCCTTGCACCCAGTCCTACCAAGGGAGAACATGCTCGGGTTTCTGATGAACTCCAGAGGAGTGGAGTGCAACCAGACACAGCACCCTAGAACAGATAAGCAGCCCCTTGGGGCCTCGGAACTTCCAAGTGTGCTTGCAGAGATCTAGAAAGGAAGGGATGACATCTCTCCACAGCACTGACTGTGTGAGGACTAGATAGTTCCTCATGAGCCAAACACTGACAGCTCCGTAAGGGAGGGTGGGTTTGGGTGGGTAGGGTGTGTGCTAAACCCTCAAACCCTGATTCAGCTGCAAAACCCATAATCTCTCCCTCAACCAATTGTCCTAAATAATACCATCTGGTCTTTGTCTCGCGAACAAAGAAACAGACTTGGGAAGGGAAGTGGTGGAGTGAACATTCTAGAGTTTGCTCATGCCAGAATTACCAGAACCCGACAGAAGCCTGCAGCTTGCCAAGCAATGGTGCCTTCGCGCCATGGTGGTGCGCAGTGCCCGGGACACTTTGAGAGGAGAAAATGGAGCCATGGTCCTTCTTCTCTCCAATCTGTGCAGGCCTAGGAATCTAGGGACCCTTCAGCACGACTAGACCCCTACCCCAAACCAGGAAAGCAAGAACCTCTCAGGCCTCCTCTGTTTCGCCACTTACTTGTTCCCTCGGCCCTGCACACACTCGCCTCATCTGAAGGAGTGACTGTCCTTATGAGAGGGACGGAAAACACTCTTCTTCAGACTGGAGAATACAGCGAGGCTAGGGAGGCCGAAGCGAGGGATGGAATGTATCTATTGCTATTAAAAATTAAATGGGTTTTACAACAGGCAGACATCCAGCCAGAGTCAAAGAAGAACTTCCTGAGAGCACACCTCAGGCTTTTTCTAGCAGGAAGACACTGGGGAAACTAAGACCCTGGGGAGCAGCCAGCCCTTGTCCACCAACATCTCCCAGCCTACCCAGCAGTCACCATCAAAGGCTGTTCCTCTGCATTGACCCCATCTTGCATGGTGGCGGGAAGCCTGCCTGTCTGGAATAAGGCAGCATAGTGCCTGGTGAGAGACCAGTGGCCACCCGAGCTGCTCATGTTCTCTGAGGATGACACCAAGAGTCAGCTTGGACCACAGAAGTTGCCCTCGATGCAGCTCTGCCCTTTGCCAGGCCACATACTAGTTTATCCTTGGTACAGCGTTGTAAGTTCAGTTCTGAGGTCTCCCAGCATTCAGTAGGCCCAAATCATGGAGGTAGTAAACAGTGTCATCTAGAAATAGTCCAGGCTATGTGACATCAGACCCACATCTCGAGCATCCCCCTTGAACAGCCACTGCCAACAAGAGTGGGGTTAGAGGCTTGCCCTTGTCATCCTTGATCCTCCAGGATTGGTCTTATCATCCTCGTTGTACAGAATGGGACACTGAGACCAGAGCAAACAGTCCCCCAGCAAACAGAAGCCTCAGAAGCGGCAGTTCCAAGCCCTCTTTCCTGTCACTAGGAGGCTGTAGCAGAGCAGAGCTTGAGGCTAGACCCTAGAAAGACCTTGAAGCTGAGGCTAGGAGCTCAGGACCTAGAGAAGGAATGTGGGGCTTAGGAATTGTCACCAGCCCTCCCTGTGCAGTGCTCAACCCCAGAGGGCAGGGCGTGGGGCACAGGATGACAAACCCAGAGAGAAATCAGCACTGGGTGTGGCCAGGTTATGAAACGGCCTCTTAGTTCAACCCCAAGTTCTCTTCTTTCCCACAGCAGGAGCTGCACTGACCATGGGCACCCCACCTTCAGCATCTAGAGCCCCCACCCCGCCCTCCCCTACCCCTCCACCCCCAACCACCCACCCTCCACCCCACCTCCACAGGATTTGCAGCCCTGGGGACAGAATTCTGAATGCAATGGGTAGAGGTGAAGACTATATGTTCTTTGACCGTGGGACCCCAGGAAGATTGATCCCCTCCACATCCCATTGCATCGGGGTGACCTAGAGAAACAGACTGTTCTGTTACCAGTCCCAAAGTTTCCTTCTGCAATCAGACCCCTCCCCCAAATCTGAATCATGACATCTTTCCTCTCAAAGATCTCAGCCTCCATGCCTGTTAAGTTCTGGGATCCACCTCCCACCCTCAGGCTGTCCAGGGTCCCCGCCCTGCCTCGGGGCCAGGATCCAGAAGGGGTAGTGGTTGCAATTAGAGTGGAGGGGGCAGTTTTCTGGCTCTCACCCTAGGGCCTCCATGGAGCTAGAAGCAGGGGGACAGAAGAGGGGGAAGGCAGAGTGAGCAGCTCCCCTCCACTCACTCACCGCCCCCCTCCAGCTCCACAACAACGCAACAGCAGGCCAGGCGGTGACCGTGGAGCTCTTCCTGACCCTGCAGCTGGTGATCTGCATCTTTGCCTCCACGGATGAGCGGCGCGGTGACAACCTGGGCAGCCCTGCTCTCTCCATCGGTTTCTCTGTAACCCTGGGCCACCTCCTTGGAGTAAGTCACGGCTGCTGGTTCCAGCCACCCTGCAGGAACCAAAACATACATGTCCCCCAAAGAAACATCCACATGGGACATTGTGGAGATAGACGCATACAACTCCCCAGAGGGACAGTTTCCCAGAATAACTAGCTCTTGTAGACCAGGCTGGTCTCGAACTCACAGAGATCCGCCTGCCTCTGCCTCCCGAGTGCTGGGATTAAAGGCGTGCGCCACCACCGCCCGGCGACCAGGTTATTCTTGAACTCACTGAGATCCTCCTGCCTCTGCTTTCCGAGTGCTGGGATGAAAGGTGTGCACCATTCATGCCCCCTTTCATCATGGGTTCACCTTAAACTGAGTCCAAGCTTCCAAGCACTGGTAGGGGGTGGAGGTGAGGCTGTCCCACCCTGTTCTCAGTCTCCTTTTTTCTCTACCCCCTCCTCCCCCACCCCCCCACCCCGCACCCCGCACCCACCTCCTATTGCAGATCTACTTCACAGGCTGCTCCATGAACCCAGCACGCTCCCTGGCTCCGGCAGTCGTCACGGGCAAGTTTGATGACCACTGGGTAATGGCCAAAGCCCTGACTTCCCCATTCCTAGAAATCATCCCAGGGAGACACTAGGGGGCTATAAAAGATGGGGGGGTGGAGGAGTGGACTTCTCAATCCCTCTCCACTTGTCCTGAGGCCCTGAGAAACATTTGTTTCACCCTTCAGAGCCATGCCAAAGATTCTGTCTTCCCCTGTCCCTTGTTATCAACGAAGATAACAGTCAGTATTTTATCGGTTTTCTTGGGGAAAATTAAGCGAGTTTATCTCCATAACATAGTGCCTGGCATTCAGGACCCAGTAAATGATACTCATGCTTAACAGTTAGCTTGGTATGTGCTGGGCCCTTTGCTCAGAGCTTTGCAAACCTTGCCCGTTTAATTGCCCCATCTCTAGGAAGTGGACATTCTTGTAAGAAAAGAAACAGGTTCCGAGAAAGTGAGTTGTCTAAGTTCACACAAGTGGTAAAATCCGGACTCCCAGCTAGGCAGCAGGCTTAAGAATTTGCCCACTCACCCCCTACACTAACTAGTGGCCCTTGGCAGCTCATGCTGACGGTATCAGAGGCACCCGACGGCCGGATCCTACGCAGCCTGGACAGCAGTGTACATGGGGTTGGGGGGGGGGCTGGATGAGCCGTGCCAGAACCTCTCCTCTCACTCCGCACAGGTCTTCTGGATCGGACCCCTGGTGGGCGCTATCCTCGGCTCCCTCCTCTACAACTACCTGCTGTTCCCTTCCGCCAAGAGCCTGCAGGAACGCCTGGCGGTGCTCAAGGGCCTAGAGCCCGACACTGATTGGGAGGAGCGCGAGGTGCGGCGGCGGCAGTCGGTGGAGCTCCACTCCCCGCAGAGCCTGCCGCGTGGGAGCAAAGCCTGAGCGCCCCGCCCCGCACTATCCCGCACCGCAGCGCAGCGTACCGCAGCGCAGTCAGCGACCGCCCGCCCCTTCCCTCCCCCCGGCGCACCGTCCGCCCCCGGTGCAGTGGCTGCTCCAGCGCCCGCAAGCGCGGTGAGCCTCAAGAAGGGGCTCTCCCGGGAACCTGGCAGCACCCCCACCCCGAAGTCTTGGCCCCAGCGACCATCCGGCTCATTTCTTGCAGGGAACCAGGAACTTGGGAAAACAAGCTAGTGGGGAGGGAAAGCAGGCGGGCGGGAGAAGGAGAGCTCTGGAGAGCCCGCACCTGGTGCAGGGGAAACGTGGGTAGAGACCACCTTGGGGGCCTGTGGTTGGTATCTGGTTTTGTTCAGGTGTAAAAGTGCTCGTCCATCTCCGCGTGCTTCTCTCCTCACGTGCAGGGTCTGCATGTGCCTGAGTGTGACCCTGAATGCCCATGGTGATACAGGGCTGGGATTTCTCATTCCCGCTTTGGCCGCCCACTCTGACACCTGCAATAAATCCACTTTCTCCGCTATGGAAGAGTCCTCCTAGCAAGTCAGGTCCAGGAAGGAGTGGGCAGCTTGTTTCCAACCTCATCCTCGACCCCCTGGGAAGACTCTACCAAATTAACAGTCCTCGGCCCAAAGACTTGTCAGGACTCATTGCTGTAAGGAGCCTGTCAACTAGAGAACAAGTCCCCTAGACATAACCTCTGGAGAAGGGAGGACTGGGTATCCAAGGACTCCTTTTCTACCCCAAGGGAGGGCTCTTCAACGGGGAGAGGGTGCTGCTTGACTCTCTTCCCCAGGGAGCCCCCCCAAAGATTAGTCTACCACTTGGGCAAAGAAAACAAAAGCCCTCCATCGGCCGCAGCTTTTGTCCTGAGAGGGGAGATTTGCAATTAGATACTGCATGAAAGGAGACACTCGGTTTCGCAAGGGAGCCCGGGAGCCTGGCACACAGCACATGCCTATGGCTGGTAGGGCAAGGTGCTCAGGCATGCAACCACAGGCACCAAGCAACACCCCTCCTTCACTTGTTGCCCCTCCCCCGTAGGAATCTCTGTTCCCTCTTTCCTTTCCTCCCTCCCTGTGCTCCACGCCGCCAGCTCCCACGGCCTGACGCTTACTGTGTGGACCTTGCAGTCTGCGCTCTCCTGGATCAGAGGAAGGAAGTTACTGGAGCAGGCAGAGGCAGGTCCAGAATCTGGAACCCAGACTTCTAAGCCAGAGCAGGGCATCTGCTCTCAGATGAGATTTAACTGGGATTAAGTAAGACTATGCATATAAAGATGCCCTGTGAACTGTGATTCCATTATTAGGCTCATTTTCATTATCGCCGCCTTCTCCAGGAGGGGAGGGCAGAAAAGCCAGACCTCTAGCTTTCTCTACTTCGTGTAATTGGTAGTTAGAGCAAACGGGAGCCCTGGGGCCCCAAGGTCCAGACAGAAGGAGCCAGGTTTGGCGCTGGCCGCTTCCTGGTCCAGGCTCTGAGCTTTCCTCATTGCCTGCGTGCTGGCTGGCTTCCACCTTCTCCCTCAGCCACCCTTCCTCTCGCTGCAACCACGCCTGACACCTCTTGTCCATGTTGTCACCCCACACTCTCAAGGCTTCTGACTGCATCTGTCCACAGCACCAGCCTCACTCCAACACCCCATGCACGTGACCAGATCAAAACAAAATCTCTGTAGCTGTGACCTTTGTGTCTGCCTGACCAAACTTCTCATTGGAGGCAAGAAGAGGCTCATTGGGCATGCACGCTGTGAGAAGGACCCTCCCATACCCCAACAACTGCTGACAGTGACTTGACCTCATGGCTTCCGAAGAGTGGCGTCAGTGACCTCTGGGGCCGCCTCTCGGTCATTGCCCTGAAAGCTCAAAGGATTTAGGAACCCCATGCCCACTCCACTTACCCCAACGCACCCCTCTTGAAGGTCAAGGATGTATCTGGACCACTTCCTGAGTCACATCTGCCCCAAGACTGAAGCCTAAATGATAGGAGAATCAGGGAATAAGTGACACGTGTCTCTGTGTCCCAGCACCAGGGCTGGCCACTTCCTATGTCTTAACTCATCTATGGAGACCTTCCATCAGTTCAGGAAGGGTCACAGTCCCCAGCCATGTAAGGCTTTCCTGTTTCCACACAATCCCCTCAACATTCCAACCTGGTGAGATAGGCAGAGCAAATGCTCCTTTTCCCACTTGATTCTAGAACTGAGGCCCTAAAGGTTGGCCCAAAGACACACAGGTAATACACAGCAGAGCCAAGACTTGAACCCAGGCTGTCTTACACAAGATCCCACATCTTTCCTCTGAGGCAAACCCCAATCTCTTCCTGAGAGCCCCCGACTAAAACCAGAACACTCAGCCCAGTCCAAGTCTCCATCATGTAGTGGACAGATGGTCTTGAAGTGGGTGGTGAGTGGGTCAGAGGAATTGCCACAAGGACTCATGGGTGGTTTCTGCCCTTGAAGAGCACCCAGTCAAGAAGGTGGAGGTCAGACACACCCAAACTAGACAGACACAGCACTGCATAGAGGCAGGTGAGCAGACTTGCAGGTCCCCAAGCTGGGGACACACACAGCTCTGGACTGTCCCGGTGGCATCCTCCCCCTTTCCCATTTTGTGCAGAATGACTTCATCCCTCCAAAAGTTGCTCTGATGTTTGTGTCTACAAGCTGTGGCCCTGAAGGTACACCACGCCCACAGGAAGAGTGTAAGCCCCTCGGAGGCAAGGCAGTCTCTTACTGTCTCTTCCTTTTTGGTCTTGTCAAATGGTGTTCTGCATATAGGAAACAATAAATGCTCATTTGTCAATAAATGCTTCCTCTCTCCCACAGCTTAAAAATGATCAATTCAGTCCACTTGCCCGAGACAGTCCCAGGTTCCTAACATTTCCACCCCAACCTTCTCCTTCCAGAGGTCCCTATAATAGGAGAGATGGGAGAAGAGCCTTACTCTGAGAGATGTTAGCCCCTCGGCCACAGGTAGGAAGACACTCTTCCCAGATAAATAGGGAACATCCTTTGGAACAGGAAGGTCAGGACCTTGAGTGTGCAGGGCAAAGACAATTCTTATTATTACTTTTATTTTATCGTATGTGTTATGAACATGTTGCCTGCATATATGTCTGTGCACCATGTATGTGCTTGGTGCCCATGGAGGCCAGAATAGGTCATCCCTTGGACTGGGTTACAGACCATTGCGAGCCACCATGTGAGCTCTGGGAATCGAACCCAGGTTCTCTGGAAGAGCAGCCAATGCTCTTAACCAGGGAACGATCTCTCCAGCCCCTATTCTAAAATATAGTACCTCTGACAGCAGTGGCAGGGACAGAATCCCAGCCCCATTGTCACCCACAAGTACCTGAGTTCCCTTGATCTTAGTTCAGAACAGATCCTTGGCTCGAACACAGAAAAGAACTCCAGGAGACGCCAGCACAAAGTAGGGCTGGAGTTCATTAAAAGACACATTTATTAGAAGAAAAACGAGGACCAGCTGAGCGTATGGGCACCGGCTTCTCAGTGAAGACCGCCAGTGACATGTCTGAGTGCTAGCCATATAGGGCGCGTTGGTGACGCTCAACGGGGTGCCGAGAAACTGGTTTTCTTCAATAAGTGTGATTTCAGGGTGTCTCTGGAAGTGGCTCTGGGGAGGCCTTGGGTCTGAAAAAGTAAAACTGGAAGCTGCGCAAGGAGGTTGGGATGTGCTGTTCTATTGTAAAGGGAGTTTCTGATGGGATTCCTAGAAAATTACAGGTTTAATTGTAACCTGGGAAGGAGAAAGCCTTAAGCAAATGTTAATTGCGTTGGGATTATTGACTCCGTGCTAGTCTGAGTCCCCTCTCTATAACAGATTGTAAAGGAGCTCCTGAGGTGTCCTGGGTGGGATCACAGTGAGATAAGAAAACGCCAGGAGACACCACGTCTCACAAGCCTTTTTTATTGTAAATGGCATCTTCCCTGAGAGGCTAGAAAACTGGGGGTTTGTGGCTGGGAAAGGAGAAAGCTTTACGGTCCTGAGTTCCTTGCTCGTGCTCTCTCTCCTTCTGCTCCTGATTTGGACCTTGAGATTTATGTCCAGTGCTCCAATGTGGGTCTCTGTCTCTGTCTCCTTTCATCGCCTGCTGAAGGTTAATATTCAGGAGGATGCCTATATGTTTTTCTTTGGGTTCTCCTTATTTAGCTTCTCTAGGATCACTCAGTGTCCTTGGTTTATGGCTAGAAACCAAATATGAGTGAGTACATCCCATGTTCCTCTTTTTGGGTCTGGCTTACCTCACTCAGGATAGTGTTTTCTATTTCCATCCATTTGCATGCAAAATTCAAGAAGCCCTTGTTTTTTACTGCTGAGTAGTACTCTAATATGTATATATTCCATACTTTCTTCATCCATTCTTCCATTGAAGGGCATCTAGGTTGTTTCCAGGTTCTGGCTATGACAAACAATGCTGCTATGAACATCGTAGAGCATATACTTTTGTTGTATGATAAGGCCTCTCTTGGGTATATTTCCAAGAGTGGTATTGCTGGAACTCAGGACCGCAAGGGGTGCACCCACACACTGAGACAATGGGGATGTTCTACTGGGAACTCACCAAGGCCAGCTGGCCTGGGTCTGGAAAAGCCTGGGATAAAACCGGACTCTCTGAACATAGCGGACAATGAGGACTACTGAGAACTCAAGAACAATGGCAATGGGTTTCTGATCCTACTGCACGCACTGGCTTTGTGGGAGCCTAGGCAGTTTGGATGCTCAACTTACTAGACCTGGATGGAGGTGGCGGTTCCTTGGACTTCCCACAGGACAGGGAACCCTGATTGCTTTTCGGGATGGGGGGGAACTTAATTGGGGGAGGGGGAGGGAAATGGGAGGCAGTGGCGGGGAAGAGACAGAAATCTTTAATAAATAAATAAATTAAAAAATATCAAACCAAAGTGCTACTATTAAAAAAAAGAAATATATCTGAAAATAACTCTGAAATACATTTTTAGTCACTGCCAACATATACAATAAAATTTTAGTTGGTTATTATTAAAAAAAATTAAAAGGAGAAAGCTTTAAGCAAAAGTTGCCAACTGTGTTGAAATTTTTGGT